CTACCATCCTCACAAAATCCCGTGCCCAAGCCCACTCTTTATGCTAATACATCTTCTTGAGCATTCCTCTCCTTGGCTGACCTTCTACATGATGTTGTTCCCCAGTAACTTCCACTTCTGATGATACACCCAAACGATGTGAGAAGTCTCATTCTCCTTGTGCCTAAGCCCTTGGGCTGCACTTTTTCCAAGGACAGATCTAATTGTTCTTTTGGCAGTCAATGCTCTTTCCCAACACCATGATTCAAAGGCATCAATTCTTTCATTTTCAATAATCGTTATTGTGTGCCATCTAGTCAGAACCCACCCATAGCTGACCCTCTAGCAATCTTTCAGAGGTAGAAATTGCACAGGAGGATATTTCCCATCTTTCTCCTGCAAAACAGCTGGTGGATATGAACCTAGTGCCATTGATATTACAGTGCAGATTCTTTCTACTAGACCAATGTTGTGGAATGATTTATAAAAGCAATTACAACAGTCATTGACTGACCATACACTGTGTGTTAGCTCATACAAATATGTTAGTACATACAAATAGATTTGTATGTACTGCTTTATATTCTAAATAGCCACGTAGGATAAATGTTATTATTATTAGTCAAGGGATCTCCCTCCCTATCATCTTAACTAAAAATTCAGTAACATTTAATCTTGATCTTAACTAAACTTTAATAAATGTGTTAACTAACTTTTCCAAGACTATATACATCTGAGAGGATTAGGATTGAGACACAAAGCCAGGTTTAGCTGATGACCAATTTCATGCTTTGCCCAACCTCTTACAGCAATAAAATCATAAATGAAGACGAGAACAGCATAAAACAGGAATCCCACCTCAAAAATACAGGCTCACTGGCTTAGTGGTAAGGAACTGTGCTTTTAGCCCAAAGGCAAGTAGTTTGAAACTGCCAGGGGCTTCGCGGGAGAAAGATGGCCAGTTTCCTCCTGTGTGATTATTGCCTCTGAAATCATAGTGGAGAATCAGCTGAGTTGGTTCTGAGTCCATGGTACATAGCAACAACAGAAACAACCACTTGATTTGGCATGGACATTGTTTCTTCCAGAGACATTATTAGAAGAAGACAAAGATTTTAAGTGCAGCAAAAAAAGCTAGTGTGTACGAGGGTCAGGCAAACTTTGATGTGTTGTACGTAGAGTCACTACAGATTGGCTTCAACTTCACAGCATCTAACAATTAGAGCTATAAGACCTCGCCTTGTTTCACCTTTATTTCCTTATCTGTCAAAAGTTACTTCCTCAGAAACTTGCATGGAAATGTTTGCAAAGCATGTGATAAAGTTAAAAGTGTACAGAAACTGTTCAGTCAATATTGAGTACTGTTATTGACATGTGGATATTCTGTTGATGTTGTAGTGTTGTTATGTATCATCAAGTTGAACCGACTTATAGATGACCCTTAAGCAGGTTTCCAAAGATAGTAAATAACACAGGAGGAGAAGGTCTTTCTCCTATAAGGGTAGCTGGTGAATTTGAACCATGTGCCTTTGGGTTTGTAGCACACCTCCTTAACACTACATCGTCTGAGATCTGAGTACTGTTGTTGATTCATCTTGACACTGGATTGTTGTTGTTGTTTTGAAGTGCAGTTGAGTCATAGATGACTCATAGTAATCCTATTAACCAAAGACCTGAACACTTGTATAACTTTCATAGTTTCTCCAAGTTCATAGGGTTTCTGGAGACAAGCTATTTTGGAAGTGGATGACACTCCTGCTTCCAAGCTTGTTTTAATTGGAGAGCTCCACAAAACATATTATGCATTAAATGAACACTAGGATCCATATAAAGTGCAACCAGAGAAGGGGGAATTAACATTTGGGGGATTAGGGACATGAGTTTGTGTCTACAGAAAGAAGTCTAAATTGTTCCAGTGAACAGTCAGATTCTAGAGACATTTCAGAACCATATCCTCAGAAATGGTAAAGGTGTTTTAAAGGACCAACTAGTAAATAAAATTGACAGGAAACTTTGAAGAAAAAGATTAATGTTGGCTCTTAGATGAAGTTCATATGCAGCATTCTAGTTACATACTATATCCCTAAGTACTCAACAAACTGTGATAAAAGGTGGTGGGAACAGCAAGGAAATAGGGTATAGAGTTGAGAGGGAAATTGTGGGTCCTTTAGCACATCCTAAGGGCACATCGCCTGGGCTCCACTTTGATGATAACAACTGAAAAATCAGTCATGTTCAGCTAGAACAATATTTAAGGTTCAAATGACTCAAGATGGAAGCTTTGGGGTTGGGCTAAAGTGGGTAAGTTGTTTACCAGATTTTTGCCAGAGGGATATTATTCTTATCCTCTATAAGGAATGCTCATGTCTTAGTAAGTATTGAACTGTGCTGCCAACCCAAAGGCAGGTGGTTTGAATTCACCAACTTCTCCACAGGAGAAACATGGTCACTCTCCTACTTACTGGAAGGTCAACTACAAGTCATTGCCAACTTGATGGGAATGTTTGTTGTTGTTATGTGCCGTCGAGTCGTTTGCGACTCATAGCGACCCTATGCACAACAGCCCTAAATCCTGCTCTATCCTGCACCAACCGCACTGCCTCTGACACACC